CAGAAATTCAAGGTTCTTATGAAATCATTGTAATAGCGTCAGTTCAAAACGTGTAACCTTAATCTGCCTTAAATACCCAATAATAGTCTGTCTATCATAGCCTGATTAACACTTCTCTGGTTCCTTCAAAATAACAACATCTATGTAGGCTATCAAATGTATACAAAATATGTTTGTATTTCAAAAATGTTTTTAAAAGCCGTTTTAACCATCATATACATGGATATGCTGATTCTCTCTATTTTATAGCACATTAAAGTGAATATCTAAACATTCTTAACGGACAAAACAAGGCATTTAAAGACTGCCCTAGTTTTAAAAACTGAGATGGACTTTTTTCATTACTTTCAGACATTTTATGGAGCAAAGCATTCATTGAGTTACCTAAAAGATATCATCAGGTTAATCAATAATTAAAAGTATAATCATTTCCAAGTTGCATATTTTCAGAGTATACATAAGGAAAAAAAGTGGTCCGAGTCCTGAACCCTGTGGACTCCCTTTGTTTTATGTCAGAATTGATATACGATGACATACTTGTACATCGTTGTCTGTAGTAAGCAGAGATGAGATCATTTCATAAGTTGCAAAACAAGCTAACTTTTGAGTTGGTGCCCTAGATTGATATATGTATTCTATAACATGATGACAATTCCCATTATCTTCTCACAAAGCAACGTCTTTAATTGTCTAGTTTTGTTTTTGATCAAAAGGTGACCAATATACACTCTATGTCCAAAAGTGGAAATCAGCTTTCTGTCTGTAAGATTTTGGATTTATTATGGCTTTTAAAATTCTACTAATGCAGTTCAGATGCAGCGTTCTGCTGCTGGCCAAACTTCTGGTTTGGTGCGTTAGCAATATCCTCCTTTTCAGTTTCTTTCCTCAGTTTGAAATCCAACCTAAAAAAGCCATCATGACTTCAAGGAGGAGGAACAAAGTGTAGATGGCGCTCACTATAGTCATTTAATCAGTCAGTGTCACTTCATGCACATTGACGTAGTTTCCTTCATCATCGTCACTATCAGTTTCGTCATCGTCTCCATCATCATCTTCTTTACCAACATTGTCGTTATCGTCTCCATCCGTGGTGCTGTCACTCCGAACTGACAGATCTGGTGTTGATCCTGTTGAGAAACATGACAGATCATAGAAGATGGAGTTCATCCCTCAGTGTATTTCATCATATTCTGTGCATTACATTTGACATTTTATGTGTCGAGGTCGTTATCAGAAAGAACACATTTAAGGTATTTGTACTTTACTTGAGTATTTTTCTTTGAATGCAACTTCACACTTCTACACCACTACATTTATCTGACAGCTAAGTTCTTAACAGATTCATATTTGTACACAAAACATACTAAGATTAGATAGAAAACTAAATTCATATCAGCCAGTTTTCTTGTAAGCCATTAGCAGGTTCCTGATTTGCTTCTTTTGCTTTGAATTTGGTTAATAATGTAAATGTAAAGGTGTGACACTGAGAAAGTGGATTCTGAGCTCTATGTTTACATCAGGCACTGTCGTCATGGGAGACATTACATTACATGGTACTTGATAGACGCTTTTATCCAAAGCGACTTAAGGCCCGGACACACCAAGCTGACACCAAAGAACTGACACAGACTGACCCCTGACTGTTGTGTCGCCTCACATCTCTGGGTCTTGGCCATGTGTCGCACTGAGCCACAGAGCTCACAACTTCCTGTGTTGAACACCACAGAGGAAGAAAGAACAGCAAAGAAGAAACCCACGTGATCTGAGAACTCACTCTGATACTGCAGCAGCTCCACGTTCAGATAGTCTTTTTCCTCTGAGGAGAAAACACAGTTTCAACAAATCTAAATGTGTGTTTGTCAGGCTAATTAGAAATATTATAAAATAAACATTATTATAAATAAATATTTAGAGTTTTTTATCTTAAATGTCCCACTTTAATCTCAGAGAATATCCATTTGAACTGTCTTCTTGTTAATGGAATAAGATGATTTAGAACATCAAAATGTTAAATAAACAAACGATTAAATGAATACGAGAAAATACAAGGGAAAGATGTTAAGAGGAAAATACAGACTAAATACAGATTATTAAAAAAAATGAAGTTGTTGGCTCTTATAGGAAACTAGACACTTAAAACACAAGGAATTACAAAAAGTGGACAGACGCCCTCTTAAAACACTCACCCTTCTTTGTTGGGACATTTTCATAGTCATGTAGAACATCTGGAAATAAACAGCTCATCACTTCACATGTGACCTGTATAATGAACATGTATCCTCAAATCTACTGATCCACCATGATGTCTCATTATATAATGATGATATCATATCATGTGTCACTGTTCTCTCGCTCCAATTCTTAGTTTGTCCTTGTTTCTTTCTTGTTCTCATGTTCTTTTATTTTTTCCATTATCTAGAGGCTGTACAATCCAATGTTCTCATATTACAAGCCAAACAAAAAGGGAACAATAAAATACACAACAATGTTTAAATAACATACTCAGAATAAAAGTAAAAACTTCAAACTAAACCAGGAATATTAAAAAGGCCTTTTGATAAAGTCTTCAAATGTGTTTTTCAAATAACATAAATCCCAAATCATAATTTCATTAAAACGTGTCATTGAATGAAAAAGGAAGTGAAGTCACTTTTTGCCAAGGAGACTTTATAAACTGGATGCTGGGTGAAACTTAAGTCTGAGCTTGTGTTTCCGGTTTCCAAACTGTACCTGAACTAGGCGTGGAGGCTCGACTCTGATTGGTCACAGGGGTTTCACCTTCAGGCAACACGATTCTGCAGAGGAGGAGGAAGAGGAGGAGGAGGACAAACAGTCAGTTCTGATTTACTGTTCCAGCTTTAAATAAATCTTAGCTCCAGATGTTTCTCCTACATGCAAGGGTGTAACTTTGGTTTGAGAAGTGGGGGGGACACAAAACAGGGGGTCCTCCGCAATGAAACATTGTTCTCTATTTAATTCCATTTCCTGCCTTTCTACAAATATATATTAGGGACTATGGTGTTAACTAATCCAAGAAAAATGTGTAGTGTATATAATGAGTGTGCAAACGTATCTATCCATGAACCTGTTTTATTTGTGATTACCTCACATTCTATAGGGGGGTCCGGGGGTATGCACCCCCGGTAAGATTTGTTTCTTTAAATTGAAGTTAAAGCATAAATCTGGTGCACAAATTAAGAGATTTATGGATACCACTCTCAACACTCATATGAAACAGAACTGTATATAATTCAATACTCCAAAAGCCATTAGAATATTCTCACAACCAATAACACATCATTGATAAACTCTTCTCTCCTATCTTTATCTGACCTAGTCTGCATTCTTTCTTTTTATTTATTCATATTTTACTAATCACTTCCCTTTCAAACTGTGTTTTTAATTTGTTACTGACATTGGAATTATTTTTTAACTTATTTTGAACAACTATATTAAATAGATGGAAATATTTGTTTAGACCAAACCGTTTTAGACCCACTGAGATAACTAAAGTTTACAATCACTCAGAGAGTCCTTTACCTCCCTGAGCTGATGTTATCTCAGCCTCTCAGTCCGACAGGAGAGGACTCTCCCTCTCCTTATTGTTGAAAAAGCTTCTAATCTCCGTTAGCTCCGAGCTAGCACCAGATACTAACAACAACCCCTCTAACTCTCTCTGTCTCTCTCTGTCTCTCTCTCTCTGTCTGTCTCTCTCTCTCTGTCTCTCTCTCTCTCTCACACAAACTGCGTCCTGCACACACACAAACAGACGCTCCTCCTGACGATGACCACTTGCGTAAAAAAAAAAAACACATTTGAAAAGTGGGGGGGACACAAACGAGATTTTGAAAAGTGGGGGGGACATGTCCCCCCTGTCCCCAGTGGAAATTACGCCCATGCCTACATGTATCCGGGATCTTCTGCATCGCTCTCAGTGTTGATGTAGTCCGGACCTGCAGAACACAGGCCGATTCAAATGAGAAGATTTTATTCTGTTGGCTTGTTTAATATACAGCGATGCATCACCTTCTATTAGATCATCATACAGAACAGTGTTCCTCTAAAAAGATCACAACGTTTCATGAGTTTCAGAGAAGAAAGCGTTTTCCAGCTGATCCAAGAGGAGAATCTACTCAACACATCAAAGTAAATCAGATTTATTTTTACTTGACAGGAAGGAGGAAAAAATTACTTAAATAAATGTATACTTACATTTAGATAGAGGCAATAGTTGATTGATAAAATGTGACATAAGTTGATCATTTGTTTTAATTTGATTTATTTACCTGTGTATTACATTTTTTAACTTTATTTCCCCCTGTATTTATTTATTTAAATGTTGTTTTGTATTCCTTTATTTCATGAATTTATTTAATAATGAATAAATGTTTTGCATTTTAATTATGTATACCAAAAGCAGTGAAATGCGAAAGAAAATACATAGTTGGATTAATACAAAGGGAATTTATAAAGAAGCAAATTATAAATATATCACCTTTGATCAAATATTTAATTGAGCCATCTTTTAAATCTTTACACTGGACAGGAAGCGGATAAACAATTGCAGTCTGAAAGGTAAAGCTGATTGATACTTAAATACGGAAGAAAATGACGTTACTGCAGTTCCAATCTTACCGTCTGTTGGATTCTCATAACTTGGATTACTTTCTGTAAGACAGAAAAAAAAAGATTTTGCTTTGTTTTTCTGAATAAAGTATGATCGGCAACAAATTAACTTAAGTGACTGACTGGCAATTCCGACTAACTTGACTTATTAATCAAGAGTAATTAAAGTTAAAAGACAAACAAAGCTGCTGTAAACAGTCAAACACATCTTAAATGAAATCAAACAGCAGAATGTCACCAGTTTCCGTTGGGGTGTAGGATCTCTGTCTGCGCTGCGTTCCAGGGTCAGATAAGGGGAGGCTGAGCGGGAAAATACAAATCAAATATAATTGAATTAAAACATGAATACTGTCAACCATAAGCAGGGTCTTTGAACATTTTATATTTTTTAGAGCTTTCACAAGTAGTGAAGATGTAACTGTTTTGAATGTAAATTTGCGCAATTGATTAAATATTGAGAAATTACATTTCTATTTTTATTTGGTACTCAGGTCTTATACTTGAGTAAAAGTAGAAGTACCAGAGAGTATAAATACTCTGTTACAAGTAAAAGTCCTGCATTCAAAATGTTACTCAAGTAAAAGTAAAAAAGTATTATCATCAAAATATAGTTAAAGTAGCGACAGTAAAAGTAGTGATTGTGCAGATTGGTCCATTTCAGAATAATATATATGATATGTTTTATAATGATTGATCATTAAAGTGTTCTCAAAGCTGGTAAAGGTGCAGCTAGTTTGAATGACTTTGTATACTGCGGGGTAGCTTGTGAATTTACTCCAGGTGGAACTAAAGTCTGATTTAACACTTGATTATATTTCACATCATTCATCCACATCTGTAAAGTAACTAAAGGTATTAAATACATGTAGTGGAGTAACAGTACACCATTTACCTCTGAGCTGTAGTGGGGTAGAAATACAAAGGAACATCAAATAGAAATACTCAAGTAAAATAAAAGTATCTCAAAGTACTTAAGTACACTACTTGAGTTAATTTACTGAGTTACTTTACACCACTGCATACGCTGTATATAGTTCACAGCATGAATTAATATCATTGACGTAGAATATTAGCTTATAAAACATGATTCCATATGAACGGCAGCAGGTGTGTTTAGTTTTGAAGGAGTGACTCACAAAGGGGACAGCAAGTGGATGGAGTTCACATCAGAATTCTGCTGGGCTGCAACTCAACACAAAGGAAGTCACCATCATCATCATCATCATCATCATCATCATCATCATCATTACATGTCGACTTACATACATTACATTCTGTGGGCAATTTAGGGTGAAGTGTCTTGCCCAGGGACACAACCACATGCTGACTGCTGTGGGGATTGAACCAGTGCTCCCCTGATTTGAAGATCAGCGCATTAACCCACTGAGCCACAGCCTCTTATACAAGAGCAGGTATATATTTTGTTAGCTTGCCGTTGAATTGAATTGAATGCATTAAAGAGCACACCTAAGGGCAAACTTCACTATCAATGTCCATTTGTATATAAATGTAATCACTACTTCAATAGAGTGGTAAAGGAATGAGTCTCAAAACCTTAAATGACTTAGCATTTTAACACTTCCTTGCTCCGTCGTCTCGAGATCACGTTTTGTTCCATGACATAAAATATATCAGTAAATAGTACCTCACTGGTGAATGTCTGAAGCTTATATGTGTCATAAAAAGGGCGGTTGCTATCAAGTTATTAATGAGAGCACAAAACATCATCACGCCAAACATTAGCCGCATTTAGGGTTGCAGCTTTTTCGTGGCTTTTTGTGGAGCGACACCTCAGAATTGCCACAGACTTTGTGCAATAAACTTCTTTACACCTTTTCAGGTGTTTCAGACTTACAGGGATGGATGACTCTGAATTCAGTGGATCTGATTAAAAGAAGAAAGAAAATCAGTCATTATTTCATAAAACACTGAGATTAAATCTGAATTATTGTACTTTAAAAATATGATCTTTTAGCTATGTGTTGTAGAAGTAAAGGCTTACGGCATGTATTCCTCTGAAACATTCGCTTGCCTGATGGAGACTGATGGGAGGAAACAGAAATACATTATTATTTCAATGGTTGAAATAAAAGCACCTGTCAGAAGCTATAAAGCACTGTGGCAGTGACCATGAGATGTGTGAAAACATGAAACTGGTTTAAGACCACTGGATGTAATATTGAGGTCACGATGAACCACGTGTGTGTGCTGTGTGAGTAGAGACGGCCGCCCACCCAGAGGCCCTCTGTTCCTGCAGTGCAGACACACCAGCGCCAGCAGCACCACGGAGACAAGGACGGCTGCCGACAGAACCCAGACGAACCAGGAGACGGACATGTTTCATCTGGAGACAACGTGAGAAACATTTAAATATTAAATTATTTCACGACTTTAGGCCAGACTGGTGATCAAACCTTTCAAAAGTAGCATTCAATGGAGCGGTGCAGTGATGAGTCTAAAACCAGGAGAGACTTAGCACTTCTTGTTCCCACGTCTCAGAGTCAACGTTTTTTTTAACGTTTTTGTGGTTAGATAACGGAAATAAGTTCTGTGGTAAACACAAGCTGAAGAGATTTTCACCTTTTGTTCTACACCAGGGCTATTCAACTACACATTCAGTTGGGCCAGATTTTATAAATACAAAATTCAGCTGGGCCAGACATTCAGCGGCCTGTAAAAAGCGGGTAGTGACACATTTTAAACCAACACATATTACTGCGATGAAAAACATGCAATTTTTATTCATTGTTCATCTAACAAAGGTACGTCAAAAAGTGCATAAAAACACAACAAATTTGCATTAATTTAACAGAATCTGAAAAAAAAGTGCACAGTTGTAGCATTACATTTGTTTGCTTTAGAAGTCAAATAGTCAGGTTATGTTTTTTGAACCAGGCACATCACAAAGTGCATTTACTCAATACAATAATAGCAGTCTTAATACATTTCCTGACCAGTGGCGGTTCTACGGGGTGGCACGGGGTGGCAGCTGCCACCTCAGAAAAATGCCTTGCCACCCCAGCTGCCACCCCATTTGGCAGCTTTGTTTTGAAAGAAAAGTTGTGGCTCATCGGACATTTATGAGAGAAAATCTCTAATGTCCGAGTGCAAGTGAATGCAGCACAAGACGCGAGCCTTGTAACCCCCCCCCCCCCCCCTGGCGCGAGCTTGGAAATATGATTGGCGGCGATTTCATTTGAACGGGAGGACAGCGCAAAACGAGAAGCATTTCGGATACAATTAGACAGAAGGAATGAGGTATTTGCGGTCAGGGTATGGCTGTGGTAGGCTACAGCCATACCAATAAATGGCTTAGCCCCACAATGAAAAATGATGTTAAAGTAAGCAAAATAATGTCTGCCACCTCGTGCGGAGTAAATTGCACAGACAGCAGTTAGTAAGATTGATTTCAGTAGCCACTTGTCTGGAAATACCGAAGACTAGAAACGGTTTTGAAAACTTTTGTCACGTAGTGATCGTCTTCTCAATAGAACATCTTTGATAATGTCTTCTGGCCAATCAGAATCACGATAACGGCGTGGTGTTGTTGCAGGAAGTCCCGACGGAGAATACTTTTGCTGTAGTACATCTCGATATACATCGTGACAACTATAAGACCCCACGATTTGATGATTGATAGGTGTGTGGGCTGTCTTCCTTTTGATACACAGAACAATGGGGGCTATCCACCCTTATCCACAATGTAAAGTAATTCACACAGCCTCTTCCCTCTCCTCTCTGTGAGGAGCAGCAGGTTCAGCTTTCAGAACAAAGTACAAAAACTAAAATGACATTCATTTTTTTAAATACGTCGTGTAGTAATATATATTTATTTCTTTTTCTTTTTAAGAGAGCACCAGAATGTGTATTTGATGTTAGTATTTCAAAAAATCTCCTGGGTGAGAGTCCCCCCAGACCCCCCTGCAGGGGTTGGGTTTTCAACTCTTTCACCTGTTTGGAAATTGCAGGATTGGCTCCAGGTCGCCCTTTTTATTTACTACAAGACAAATGTGCTTTTTTATTTCATACAGTTCAATTTGGATTGAGACAGGGAAATAATATAAACCT